AAGATTTTTTTGTTTTTTTGAAAAATGATGTGTGTTTCTGTTCCTAGCTTAGTACTTCCCTTAACTATTGATATATTTGTATGGTATAGTTTAGACCCTGTCTCAAAAAACCAAAAAAAAAAAAAAAAAAAAAAAAGATTTGTATGTTATCTAAACTAGCTGGACCACAGTACTTCAGTTTCAGAGTTTTTCAAATTTGGGCATATTTACATAGCACTTGCCGAAAGTCTAATCCTCAAAAGTCTTGAGGATCTGAAACTTTTTGAATGTCACGTGGACCCTTAAAAGTTAGCATTTCAGATTAGGGATGCTCAATCCTCATCAGCACAGTTAATGACCCAATAACTCAACAGAAAAGTCATTAGTCTGACTTTACTAACAGGACATTGGTATATAAATGTGCTGCTATGTAGTATATATCCACTATGCAGAAGTGGAAAGGCATAACCACAGCTACTAAGTTAAAAAAGAAAAAAAAAGCAGATCCTGCCATGTTTAGAAAAGCGTGTGTAGGTAATGTTACTACATTGGTCACCTCATCAGGAAAAGCAGAGACACACAATGAGAACTGAACACGGGTCCGCTATAGGAGAAACCAAGTTCCAGCAGTCAGATTCAGATCTGGTAGCGGGTTCGTGGCTCTACACTACAGTCTTCAAGATGGCTTGTGGGTTACTGTGCATTATCACTCATACACACAGAAACACATTAAATACCATGCCATGCACGGCACTTGGTATTTAGTAACAACTAAAGGTTAATTCTTGTTCCTCTACAAAATTCAGAGGCAGAATCAAAGAAGTAAGAGACATGTACTTACCAAGACAACACATCAAAATTATTAAAATGAAAAAGAGGGAAACTTTAAATGTAATTTTAAATAATTCACTAAACAATCAATAAGCTAAGTTTAATTGATGAAAGAACTTACCTAATGTGTCGCATTTCTCTTTAGCTCCACAAATGTCTTCCCTTAAAACAAAAGATGGTATTTTAAAAGATTTTTCAGAAAATATGGTTGCAGTGAGTCAACACAGAAAGAAGCTTTAATTCTACCAAGACTATCACCAGGCAGCTCCCAACCCCTGTCAGTACATGCTCAAAGACTTTAAAGTCAGTCTGATGCCTCACTTGTGTGCCGCAGTGGGGAACAGATGCTCTGTGAGTCCATGCCGTGAGGATGAAGCTGCTTTCACAGCCACAGTTTACCCCTTTCTGAGGACACCAGCGGTTGTGTACAATGTGTATGCTCTCAGAAATCAGGTTTTACGTTTTGCCTCTTCATTCCTAAGTTTCTGGGTGTGTAGCTGGACAGCGCCCTCATCCACTTCTCTTTCTCCCTCCTATCTTAAATCCTTTCCTGTGAACTCCTGCACTTGATTTCAGCAATAATGCAGGCCAGAACCATAGACTAAGACGGTGTGGAGAAATTAAGATAATCCAGCTTTCATTTAAAAAGGGATAAAATAGACTTTGATTTCAAGGTTCTGGAAGGCCCACCTTCCCTTGAGATTGGCCCCAAAGTGAAGGATTTCATTAGTAAACCATCCAATCAAACATCAAATACTTCGTCTCCCTGTGCTGTGGTGCAGAGACAAGGTGTGATTCAGCACTCAGTGATGGCACTTAGAAGGAGAAAATGGTTTTGTAACAGTGGAAGTTGTTCCTAGCAAAGGAAGCCTAGTGATTATGGCAATCTCTAAGAATCAAAAGCAGGGACAGACACACAGATGATGAGAGAGGACAGACAGAAACACATATAGAGGAAATGAGTAAAACTGCCCCTCGGTTCTACATGTATGTCAATTTCTATGTATTATTTCTAATGTTCTCATTCTGTCTCTAATGATAAGGAATATATTTTATTTAGATCATAGCATGACTCATACCACTGATTTCCCACAATTCCAGTCAAAGAAGACCAATAGAGTTCTCATAAATACTTTCATGTGTTCGTGAAAAGGAACCAGTGTAACCAAAAGATATGAGTTGCCATGACAGAATAGAGAAACCCTCTGTACAAGACAGTTTCAAAAGCCATTGTAACACGAATCTTAAAAGGCCTTATTAATAAAAAATAAAAATAAAAAAAACTTGGGATCCAGATATTGGGGTGAATGCTGAATGATCAGAGAAACAGAATAAGCCACATCTAACCTCACCTCGCCAGTTCCTCAGCTGATCTTATTTCCTAAGACTGAAAGCCTCTGAGTCCTCATCCAAATGGATATCAGCTGAACTGCTGCTAAAAGCTAAAAGCTTTAAAAGGCTTAGTTCCTGGTCCTCACACCTTATACACCTTTCTGCTTCCTGCCATCAGTTCCTGAGATTAAAGTTGTGTGTCACCATGCCTGGTGGTTTCCAGTGTGGCCTTGAACTCACAGAGATCCAAATGGATTTCTGCCTCTCAAGTGATAAGATTAAAGGTGTGTGTGCCACCATTTTCTGGCCTCTATGTCTGTCTAGTGGCTGCTCTGCTCTCTGACCCCAGATAAGTTTATTAAGGTACACAATATATTGGGGGACACAATATCACCACAAGCCATACCTGGTGATGAGAACAGCAGTGTCATGGTGGGAAGGGTGAGCATCATCTAGAACATTCTGAGTCTGTTGCCATAAGCAAAAGTTGCGCAATGTGGTAGCTGCATTAAAGCTGATGACTGGTCCTTCCTGCGTAAATAATGAACAACTCAGTGTCATGGCAAACGTTTCAGCCCTGTTTGCCTCCCAAGTTTACTAGGAATTACAGTTTATCAAACTGCATTTTTACAGGTCCCTAAAGAGTAACATCAGCCCCACTCTTTGCTTTAAGACGGTATGTGTATTTTAGCTTTGTGATTAAAAACTACACTTGATCTTAGCCAAAAGGCCGAGAAGCGATTGTGATTAAAACCTGATCTAGCACAATGATCAAATATTAAGGATTAGAAATCTAACTGTAAAAAATTAATGTATTTTAAATTCTTCAACATTACGATTATAAAGGTAAATGAGTGGATGTTTTCAGTTTGAATTTTTTTTAATTGTTGATTCATATGTGTTCTCTCATTCTATTCAACACCGTTGTCATTCCATTGTATTTCTACCACACAGTCTTTTTGAGACAGGGTCTAACTGTGCAGTGCGGGGTGGGGGTGGGGGTCATCAAACTCACTATGTAGACCAGGCTGGCCTTAAACTCACGAAGACCTGCCTGCCTCTGCATTCCAAGCGTTGGGATTAACCGTGGGCATCACCAAACCCAGTTCAAATTACATTTTTTAAAGTAAGTCTTAAAAGATCACATTTCTAGTTAGACTTCTGTGATCTGCAGTTAGTCCCACCAAAAGCCGGCTACAACCCACAGCCCTCCCTGTATCCCGCTTCTTACCTGCTCACTGTGAATGACAACTAACTTCACAATCACTATATTTATAAGGTTCCCAATGCTTGAGTCCTTGTAGATTGCTGCAACCTGCAAGTAGACACCAAAAGATGAGATGCCTGGGATGACACTTTCTTCCACGGCAAAGCAGAACTAGCCTTGAGTACCCATTCTCCAGCACAGCTACACACGAGAGTCTCGGAGAACCTTTATCAACGCCTGGACTCTGTCCTAACCCTTCCATCCCACCTGATGTGATTGGTTTATATCAGAATCTCTAGGGTTGAAACATGCACCAGCATCTTTGAAAATGCACAGGGATTAAATCATCCTCATGCGAAGCTAAACTTGAGAACCAGTGCCCTAAGCCTTGCTACCTATACCAGTCTACGGCTACATGTTTGCTTTTCAATATTCTAATTATACATGAATCCTTGGTTTGACTCTTGCTCTTTATAAGTATTGTGCTCATACATGACACATGTGCCTTTCACTGCACTCAGGTGTGTAAACATCTGTCACTGAATAACTCCAGGCAACAATGTTGAATTGCGACTCAAAGCAATGAGTAGCCAGAATGACCATTGATATTCAAGAGAATTTTAAAACATATGTACAGGGCAGGCTCTCATGCCTAGAACATGGCATGTTACAATAAAGTCCCTTACAGTGATTTCCTACTTAATAAGCAATAAATTAGCAACAGAATATATATATTGAAAGACTACGTATAAATTTAAGTTTAAATGCAGTAGGCCATTCAGTTCTCACAAGTCTTGTGAGATAGGAACTATTATAGTTTTCACTGTATAGATTAGGACACTAAAATGGAGAACTAGTGGCCTGCAGAAGGTGAGGAGATAAGAAGCTCCAGAACCCACCTCCATATGGGAATCTAATTGTAGAGCTTCAGCCCTCCATGTTAGCGTTTGCAACAGCAGCACTTTGCCTCAAGTTCTCCCCAGGTCCATCTTGCTGCCAAAACTGTCTCACAGCTCTTTTGTACCTCCTTCCCTTCCTCAGTGATGCCCTAGGGGTCACGTGACCTGGCCTTGGAGAAGTTCTATGTGGCCAGGAACCTGGGTTTTAGATCCAGCTCTCGACTACTTTATTGTTCAGCTCTGTGTGTGTGTGTGTGTGTGTGTGTGTGTGTGTGTGTGTGTGTGTGTGTGTGTCTTTACCAAGTTTGGATGTTAGTAGACCAAGTTTGGAGTGCTCCTATTATTTTTAAAACTTAAGAAGGATTGACTGTAGACCTTCTTGGAAAGTCTGGCAGAATTCTGTTGTGAACCCATCTGGGCTTAGACTCTTTCAGTTAGAAGGGTTTTTATTTGTCTCCTCCTTTTTGTGGGTCTGTTTAGATTGCTTTAACTTTGGTAGTTATCAATAAATTTTATCAATCAATAAATTAATCTATTCCTTCCATATTTTCCAACTTAACAGAGTATAAGATTTTATATCATAGACACATTCCCATTTACAATAGTTTCAAAGGCATAAAATATTTTGTAATAAACCTAACCAAGAAGGTGAAAGAAAACCTCTACAATGAAAACTTCAAATTTCTGAAGAAAGAGATTGAAAACCACTTTAGAAAATAGAAAGACAACCCAACTTCATGAATTGGTAGAGTTAATATTGTAAAAATGACCATCCTACAAAAACCAATGTACAGATTTAATGCAATCCCAATCAAAATACCAACAACATTCTTGACAGAAATAGGTGAAAAATCCTACAATTTATATGGAACTAGAAAAGACCTCAGATAAGCAAAGCAATATTGAGGAAAAAAAATACTAGAGGGATTGCTCTTCCAGACTTCAAGATATACTAAAGCAACAGCAATACAAACAATATGGTACCAAAGCAAAACATGCAGAACAATGAAATTAGACTCATGTTTATCATTCTGCACAAATATTATATCCAAGTGGATAGAGATCTCAGTTTTAAACCTGAAACACTAAAACTGCTAGAAGAAAACATAGGAAGTACTGTTATGTAAGATATAGGAAGGGACTTTCTGAACAAGATTCCATTTACAGAGGAATTTAGGTCAACAATCTACAACTGGGATCTAGTCAACTAAACATCTTTTGTATAGCTAAGGAAACAATCAAACACGATGAAGAAGCCCACAGAATGGGAAGGAATCTTTGCCAGCTACACATGTGACAGAATATTAATATCCAGAATATACAAAGAACCCCAAAACAAAGAGTCAAGGAAACAAATGATCCAATTAAAAAGGGGTCTAGGGATCCAAACAGAGAGTTCTCAATAGAAAGAAAAGTCACTACCAAATATCTCAAAAAGTGTTCGCCATCCTTATGAATGGGAGAAATTGAAATCATGACAACTTTGAAATCTCATCAAGGAATCCTCTCTTTACAGCAAATGGAGACCATCACAGAAAACGACAACTGGACACAATGCTGAGATGTTGCCCAGCCCAATGGACACATCTACATCACAGCTCCTGCACCTACAACTCAGAGAACACAGCAGAAGAACAGAAAAATTGTAAGAGCCAGAATATTAAGAATTCTGCTGTGAAACAGTTTCTCCTAGAAATGGCCATATAAGTAAGACCAGAATACCAGAAATATCAATAGACATGTTAATGGAGAAGCGGGAAAAACTGGTAGGGTCCAACCCCTAGCCTAAGAACTACAAGCAACTATTGATTACTAGGAGGAAGAAAATTAGCTTCTCAAAGCATGGGCCCTTATTGGCTGTCCAGTGTAGATCGGTCAGTCTTGAAACTATATATGCACACAAACCACAAAAATGGACTTGCAGGTGCAGACACACACAGACATACTCACACAGACACACACAAACACACGGACACACACAGACAGACAGACACAGATATACTCACACAGACACACACAAACACGTGGACACACACAGACAGACACAGACATACACACTCACAGACACACAGACATACACATATACATGATCAAGAAAAAGAGGTTATACACTTGAGTGAGGAGCATAGGAAGGATTAGAGCTAGCTTGGAGGGGTTGGATGATACAACTCACTAGTTCCCTCTTCAACTGGAGGTACCCGTGGATGACAATGGAGACAGTAATTCCCTACATCTCTAGAACTACTTTGAAAGTGGACTTCAAAATGATTAAACACATTGACCAGATCTGATAACCTCTGGTCTGACCACCTGTCCTACTGTGCTGAAGATTCAAGTTTTCAAGAAGTGTGAGACATTAAATGCTAAGCCTAAGAAAGCTTTAGGTTAAATCCAGAGAGTCCATCATCCTTTTCCTAGGTTTCCTTCTATTTGTAATGTTGTTTCAACCTTTTAAACCAACAAATATATGTATGGAACCTTAACACATACTGACTTTCCTACATTTCACTTAACATCAAACCCAGGTGTGCAGAGTCTTCTGAATTTGGCCTCTGAGGCAGGGGAGGCACCCACACATGCCTAACCCTCCTCTACATGTTTCTTCCACTCCACTCACAACTTGAGTGGTGCCCCTTCTCAGCCCTGTCACATCTATCACCCTAAAATGAAACCTTTAACACAGGATGGCCAACAGCACCATGCAGGTCCCAGATCCTGCCGAAATCTGTACTCCTCCTACTGAAAACCTTGGAAGTGCCGTGTCTACAGCCTGGATTGTTGTTTCAAGGAATATCAGACACAAGAGTCTTTTCATGGAGTAAAAAAAGTCTGCCTTGCTCTCAGGAAGCTTCAAAATGTCCAAGCTCCTTCAAAAACTATAACATTAACTGATTTTTATATACAATAAAGATGTCAGGACTTTTATTGAGTATAGAAATATTATGAAAATGGTTCTTCCACAGTTCCTGGTGCATTCCTTTGCTTTCTCTAGTCAGCATTTCTAAAGTTCTGCCATCAGTGGTCTTTTATCAACCACACTTCAAACACCACCATCTTTATAAAATCCAGTGTTTTCTTTCAGTACCTCCCTGTAGACAATCTTCTTAACAAATCTCACTTTCTGTTTTGTTTTTTGGTTTTTTTTTTTTTTTTTTTTTTTTTTTTTTCGAGACAGGGTTTCTCTGTGTAGCTTTGCGCCTTTCCTGGAGCTCACTTGGTAACCCAGGCTGGCCTCGAACTCACAGAGATCCGCCTGGCTCTGCCTCCCAAGTGCTGGGATTAAAGGTGTGCGCCACCACCACCCGGCCAAATCTCACTTTCTTATCACTAAGTTTATCCAGTGTTCGCTACATATGATTCAATGTTTTACATGGTAAATGACATGCATTATAATTATTACATATATTATAATTTTCATTAGAACACCCATGGGTCACACACACACAGAGATAAATACAGGGCTACATAATTATTTTAGATTCAGAAGTAAAAAAAAAAAGTACCATCAGTATATGCTTATATTAGTAATCTCTGTCTTTTTTTAAAATCAGTTCAAATTCATGTATGGGTGTATAGTACAATTTCAGAAATTAGCTTTGGATCATCTGTTTTTATCATAATGTACTGTATTCACAAAAATTGTTATTCTATTTTAACTACTTGTTCATCGTTTCAGTAAGTTGACTGAGCACCCACTTTGTATGGAGTACTATATTTAGGCAACATCTAACCTGATATAATTTCAAGGACTTTAGACAAAGTGTCACAGGTAAGGAAAATGAGAAGAACTTAGGATCTTCACAGTAACTTTAACTGGGGAATTCTACCTAAGGAAGCTGGCAAGGTTGCTCTGGGATATCTTTCTGTAGGCTGTGAATATGTGTTGCTCTGACTGGTTGAGAAATAAAGCTACATTGGCCTATGGCAGGGCAGGATGGGGCCAGGTGGGAAAATCCAAAGGAGATAGTAAGAAGGGAAAGGAGAGGCAAGGGAGATGCCATCCCACTGTCCAGGAAGCAGCATGTAATGGCACACAGGAAAAGCCACAGAACACATGGAGACATATAGATTAATAAAAATGGGCTGAGTTTAGTTATACGAGCTAGCTAGCAAGAAGCTTGAGCCATAGGCCATATACAGTTCATAATTAATATAAGCCTCTGTGTGTTTATTTGGGTCTGAGTGGTGGCAGGACACAGGAAATCTTACAGCTACACAAGGTCACACAGACGTGGCTTGGACAAGTCTTTGCAACAGCACAGGTCTCAATTCCATCCAGGCAGAGACATTTCTAGCCATAAAGTATGTCCCTAATAATGCTGAACCTGCACAAATAAGTGACTGACTGTATTTTGTCAATTAAACCTGGACAACTGGAGTATGAGATGGGGTGATTTTTGTGAATACTCCAAAACAAGACTAAATTCAGGGATACTCAGATGACAAAGGTAAGCTGATATATGTGCACACATGTGTATGTATGCATGCATAGAGTTGACATGTTTCTTCATGATACTGGACCTTTGGATACCAAAACCACCACTGTTCATCAGAGAGTCTTAATACCAAAGCAAAGACTCTTGTAGTCCACACATCCTAAGACAGCTCCACTCAAAGTGAGTCTATAACTCAAAAGATGGTGTGCCAAAGCTCTGATTAAGGGGATATTAATAGTAGTCAAAGACACACCCTCTACCATCCATGACAACATATGGAGGTTGTACTGTTCAGATTCAAAGATCAATTACACAAGGATATTCTCTGTCACTAGAGGGCAGAAGCTATTCACATAAAGAACACTTCAAGGATCCTCTGAGAGGCGGCAAGGCAAGATTTTTCAAATATAAAAGCTGCCAGATTAACAGATGAAATTCTGGCTTTAATGAAAACACAACTTGCTCATGTTTACAGTTTGGAAAAACATTTTTAAATTATATATGAAAAAATATCAAATGGGACATTTTAGATGATGTAAGAATTCTATTAAGTTGTGACTGAAGGGATGGCTCAACATTTAAGAATACGTGCTGCTCTTGTAGAGGACACAAGTTCAATACCCAGGTCAGGTAACTCAGGACCACCCCAGGAGATCTCCTTCTTCTGACCTTTAAGGGCACCAACACACGCACAACATACACACAAAATAATAAACATAAAATAAACCTTTGAAAAGAACCCTATTACGGTACTTACAATTGACATTAGGGTCAGCACATAGTGCTGCAAATTCTGCCCGTGATGATGAACCATCTTAGCATCGGCTGTAACCATAACTTCCACATATCTTGGGTATGATAAAAAGCGTTTATTCCTGGAATGTAACTGAGTCCTTTCACCTCCCAATCCGAACACCCCTTCCTTCTTTATGTTAACGTCTCCAGTCACGTTGCTGACGTTAGGAGAGGGCAAAGCAGTTTTCTTCACTTGATTTTCTGGAAAGAAGAATAAACTGAAGTCATTAAACTGGATGGGATTAATATATTGCACAAAATAGAGCGGCCGCAACACAATCCTTGCACTGAATGGCATCACCAGGAGCATCACTTTTCATTATATGTAAGTGATTTACAATGCTCATATTTTCAGAGCTATTTGAGTAACACTGACTCTAAGCTTTCTTTTAATGGGTCTGATTATTTAAAAAAAATATTTATTTACCAAATATATGTATTTACCAATGAGTGGGAAATAAGGATGAAGAAATTCCTGTCTTTCTCGATAGGCAAATGAGTTAAGTCGCTGCTAGGATTTAGTCTTATTACATAGCAGTCACATTTTCTCTGGTGACTTTTCACAGAATAAAGAAGAAAACAAACTTTCATTATGCAATATGTGAAAGCAGCACTAAACCCCACCCCACCCTACCCCCAGAAAAAACGTTCCAACAGGCAGCAACTCAAACCAGAAAATCAACTGTTGATAAAAAGTTTATGACAGTGACAACATGTCTGGTGATTTTCATTGTTTGCTTATGTAGAAAAGTGGTAAGCCCTGTAAGGAAAGGAACTACTTTTAAGTGCTACGTAAAAAAAAAAAAAAAAAAAAAAAAAAAAAAAAAATCAGCATTTAAATATTTGATTATTTGTGCTAATGCAAAAGGTTCATGAACAACATGGATGTGTGTGCTATTTCTTTTTTCCATCTTCAATTAACTTTTCTGAAATTGATGGGTGGTTGTATTTTCAACAGAAAAATGGACCAAAGGAGTTAGGTAAAAAGAAATGAAAACTTCTGAGTCATTTATGAACCAAATAATCAAGAATCAACAAGATTTTGTTGCACTATCACCACACACACACACACACACACACACACACACACACACACACACAGTATCAGTGAAATGGTTCACTTCATTTAAGTATGAATGGAGTCCTGTGGGATAGCAGACAATGCCATTAAGCACTGTTTCCATTATCTTCAACATCTGTCTTTTGTATTACTGTGTCCTTAGATATGAAAACCCTGTTATCTTTCCCCTGCGGTTCCTCATTCACTGATTATCAGTGGACAATTGCTGACCTGAAGGAGTTCACATATAAACTGATAGACAAAAGTCTCTGGCTACCAGGAAAGGCTGAAGGTTTATGTGTCAATACATTTGTTCATTTGTTTCCAGGTTAGTGGAAACAAACTTTTACTGAGCATTTTATACACATCAAGACTGTTTAGGAAGTGAGGCACACACAGCACCTCATAAAGCTTACAAGCCAGAGAAGGGAACAGAAATAAAAATTGAAGGATAAAATTATAGGCTCTTTAAGTGCCTCAATAATAATTCAACTAAGTGACAAATTAGTTTATTCCATCTACCAGGTTGGCTAACATTCAAGTTGGTGATGCCAACCCCTGGCCTAACTTCTTTGAAAAGCCATCATGCAAGTTAGATGTGCATCCACCCCATGGACTGTAATCCCATAACTCAGCAACATCCACTGAGCCAACATCCACTGAGGTCTTCACAGCATGTACAGTGATGACAGGAATAGACTAAGGACCCCAGAAATGCACCCTCTCTGATACCACCAATTGATCCTCAGCAAGGCAACCAAAACCACTCAATGTACAAAATGAACCAAAAATCAATTAAACACCTAAAAGAAATGCAAAAAACTGTAAAACTCTTAGAAGGAAATGTAGAGATATTTTGCATGACTTTTGATTTGCAATGAGTCCTTGGATGTGATACCAGAAACAAAAGGAAGAATGATAAAGCTGGAGAACTGGGACCACGTCACACAAAAACCCTGAAAAGGAAGCAACAAAGCATACCCCTTATCTTATAAGAAAGGCCAACAGCCACATGTAAACTCAAAGGTACTGTACCTTTTTGTTAATCATCAATAAAATACTGATACATAGCAATGGGTTTCAAGTCTAGAAACCTGGCTCCAGAGTGAGTGTTTTCAATGACTGCAGGAGCTGTGTGCCAATGAGGTGTAAAGAAAAAATGGAAGAACACCATAACTTACCCACCAACACTATACTATCCACACATATCTATTTACTTATACTCCATTTGAAATAATCCTAAGAAAATATAAAGATATGGAAAAATAACTGAACAGTTTATCCAAATCTACAAATTCATGTTTGATTGACATGTCTTGACACTCTAAGTGAAGGAAGTGAGAAAAGTTAAACATAGCATACTTTTATGTGGGCAAAAATTAAAATTAAGCATATAGTTTTGAAAGAAATATGTTTACAACAATGCTACCTTAAAAAAAAAGTCAGAGAGATTAGAAATTAGGAATTGGAGTAACGTTTGCTTCAGCGGCTGAAAGGAAGTGGAAGTGGACAGGATGACGGTGAGGGAAGGGCAGTTATCTTCCAGCCCTTTATGCTGTGCTGGCTCATACACACAAATACGTAGAACACAATGAACAGTCCTCAGTAAGTACATCAAGCTGATTACCACTACATCACTATGTCAGCCACCATGACTCTCATATTCTGTTGTTCTGGTAATGCTAGATAAAGCAGTAAGATAAAATAATTAAACACACAGTATGAATATTAAGGAAATAGTTTTCCAACTTTTTAAAATTTGATCTAACACATAAAAAAACTTCTGTAGCTAAAAATCCCAAAAGTCTTGATTTAAAACTCTATAAATTACCATCCTGAACACAGACAAAAAAAAATGAATAAATAATAGAAGTGAAGTAGTCAAAAAGGATGAACTGAGCTTTTGAGCAGAAAGAAGCCCCTCCAACACTCAAAAGTAGGAACTCTGGTGGTATTTAAATCTTGATCCCATTATTTGGAATTTTTTACAAAAATATTCAAATACACTTTTGATAAACTGCATATAATGGGCCAAAAATATATAGGAATACACAGCCCCACAACTTTAACCATATGGCATAAGAGGCGGATAGAAAAATGATTAAATAGCCAGGCAGTGGTGGCGCACGCCTTTAATCCCAGCACTTAGAGGCAGAGGCAGGCAGATCTCTGTGAGTTCAAGGCCAACCTGGACTACAGAGTAAGCTCTAGGAAAGGCATCAAAACTACACAGAGCAACCCGGTCTTGAAAAAAAAAAAAGATTAAATAATTACCTTAATGTCTCAGTGTTCTTTAAATGATTACAAGTTTACATTGTTGTTATAATTTTAAGAAATAAAATGGTAAATACTAATATAATATTTATTAACATTCCACAAGCTAAAAAAAAACTACAATCTATTGCCTTTTCTAAGTATTCATGCCCAAGCATTATGACTAATGATGATAAAGTGACCTCTGTAAATACCTTACGTAAATGACCATTACTCAAAACACGTTTGCCACCCAGCATAGTGACACATATCTGTAATGCCAGCACTTGGGTGACAGGGCAGAAGGATCAGGAGTTTAAGGCCATCCTCAGTTACACAGCAAATCTGAGACCAGCCTGGGCTACATGAGACTCAATCTCCAAATACTAAAGTACACTTGGCAGTTCAACTACATCACTCCTCTGCAGTGCTTTCCTTTCTATTTCTGCTTCATCGAGTCAAAGACTAAAACTGGTTCTTGCCCTTTATTAATAGGAAGCGCATTACAACATGAAACCAATTTAGGCTCCCCCTAAGCACAGCAGCACCGGTATCATACTATAACATAAAATCTTTAAAAGTTATGCCAGCAACAGTGCCCCATAGCAGAGTGTTATAACTCAAAGAGAACATTTAAATTAATAGTTAGAGGAATGTACATTGCTTAAAATTATGACCATACAATAATGTGATTAGAAGCCCACATTTCTACTTGAATGTCTGACTGCTTATTCGTTCTCACAATTTTCTTCCCCAGTTTTCAGCTTCTGGGGTCTACAAATGTCGGCAAACAGCTTCCTAGTGCACACAACTCATCACAACTGTACACCACCAATGGTTGTCTCTGCTGCCCTCATTCTGGGATCTAGCCTCCTTTTCTTGTCCTTTCTCCTTCAAATGTTCCCTGCATTGCTCTTATTTTTAACCGTGCACTATTTTATTTATCTTTTGAAATTAAATGGCAATCACTTTTTGAAAAGCATTATGATCTTAAACTCATCTAGGTATTTCTCATCTTAGAATTCTTAGAATGAAGAATACAAAATCAGATTTACAAAAGCCTCCCAAATGCTCTAGCCATCTTTTATTATCTGTGTCTCCATTCATCTTTAAGTCCACTTCTAAAAATAAGGAAATGCTCTCTCATTTCATCTTCACTCGAGATGAGACCATGTATATCCAAACTAGAAGACTCCCTGCAGGATAAATTCTAGAGCCCTTCTCAACAGTGCACCACTAAGTAGCAATTCCTCATCCAGCTTCAAATTTCCCAGGAGTGAGAGCACTGTTGGGCAATATGCTCTTCTAAGGTCAGTAAATGTTCACAGAGAGTAGGAAAAAGATTAAGATAAAGATAATAGAGGAAAAAGACAATGGTGTATGGAAGAAAGGAATAATCTGAAGAATAAGACAGGAGTGCTTAGTGGCTATGACTTCAACATAAGGATAACACTAATGAGATACATGACGGTGTCAGCTCAAAGACAGAGCCACTGCCTCAGACATATCTGTGCACAGGCTGATGTGTATTTGACCAGAAGAAAATTATTTCACAATTCTCCAAAGCACAGAACCATTAAGTGAGGGCATAAAATCAAATTAGGTTTAATCTAGTGTATCAACATTTGAAATCACTGTTGAATGCACCAAAGCTTAGAGAATTGTAAACTCTTTGAAATGAGGTATGACCATATCAGATATTATGTTACCACATTTCCTCATGGTTGAAGCTGTATTCAGGATCTATAATATGCCCTATGTTTCCATGCTATTGAACTAATACTGTCAATAGCAACAATACCCATGTTTTCTGTGTTATTTATTAAGTGCTAATTCAAGCCACACATGTTTACCTCCTTAGTATTAACAAGAACTCTCTATGAAATAG